CAGTGGAATTTTAATATTTTGATAGAAACGTTTAAATAAACATCTTGTGGGAAAAAGTATTGTGTAAACTACGCTTTGCGCGATGAAACTTGCAGAATTTCCAGTTGCTCGAGAAACTGCATCAACAGAAAAAAATGCCTGCGAAAAGCACCCACGCACGGAAAAAGAAGAAGAAGAAGCAGCAACATTCGAAACAGTTCGCGTCGAGCAGTTTGGACTCGTATCTGAGCTTCGTCGGCAATTCGAGACCAAATTCCGGATCGTTGACCAGTTCTTCAGGCGCTCAAATCTCATCGAGTCAGTCGTCGTCGAAATCGTCGCCGGATTCTGACAAGTCAGCGACCAAGTCGGAAACTTCCGCGTCGAAGAGAAAGACCGAACGCGGTCCGCTGAAAGTGTCGATTAACGAGACGGCGGAACTGATCGAAGATCGCAACGAGAAATTGTTCAGTAGCGACGAGCAGTCGCGCAGCGAAGAACGCGAAGATGTATTGCAGAGCGACGACGTCGTCACTGCCGAAGAGTGAAACATAAAAGCACAGACGATATTTTGAATTATTCAACGGACTTTAAATTACACATATAAGGTTTATTTATTTCTGATTTAAAATCACATTATAAAAGATACATAAATCACTCGCACTCTTTATAAAAGATACTTTAAATATCGCTTTATAAAAAAAAACTTTCATAAGTCACACACTCAGTGACACACACATACAGTCACGCAAATACAATAAACATTTTCTTTTGTATAAAAAAAACATTAAAAAATTCGCTCTTTATACGTTACGTATATTTTAAAGCAACTTTTGCAACATGGCTCATCAGCGTCTATCGTGAATGAAAAAAACGTCACACGAAAGAATCAGAGTGTGTTAGAACGGATCACATCGGCAGTAAGACATTTCAGTCTTAAAAAGAGAGCAATAAAAAAAAAAAAGCAATTAATGTACAAAATATTGTATTTTGAATTCGTATTTTCGCGATGAGAAGGAAAGTCTCGGATGCGCATTCCCAGCCCTCTGCGAGGAGCCTAATCTCTCATGGTATTGAGAATCCAGTCCACGTAATAAGCAACCCTTGTGTAGACTCCGGGGAAACCTTCTATGCCGCACTGCTTCAAACCGTAACTGACTATACCGTGTTGAACGGTGCGCACTGTTTTGCCGTATTTACCGGGTGCTTGAAGAGGACCGCCGCTGTCACCCGCGCACGAGTCCACGTTGTTTTTACCACCGGCGCAAAGTTGCTTGTACCAGATCTGAGTTCTACCTCTGTACGCTTGTTGACAACGCTCCTGAGTAACCAGTGGCAACTTCGCTTGCAAGAGATCCCGACTGCGCGTACCCAATTCCGTCGCGCCCCAACCAGTCACTATGGCCTGCAATCGGAAACAAAAAATTCAAGAAATTGAAAAAACAAACAAATCTTTGAAACTATAATATTGAATCTAAAATAAAACACATTTAAAAAAAAAACAGACTCTTACTCTTTTTTGATCCAGCGTTGCCGCAGGACCAAAAGGTAAACAAATCGGTCGGACACTCAAGGGTCTGAAATCTATCGTGTCATTTACTCTGATGAGCGCGATGTCATCTTGCAGACGCGCTAATGTGTAGTCCGGATGGTAATGAAAACTCTCTACGGTGAAATCTTGATATTGCTCGGCACATTGGGTTTCGAGTCCGTTCTCGTCGTACTCGCAGTCGCGTTCCTTGCTTATATCGTGATCTCCTACTCTGACGCCTATCAGTGTGACACCTAAAACATAACACGAATTTTGTAAAACAAAGCAAATTTCGATTATACTATATGTATTTGTATATGAGAAGAGAATAATATATATATATATATATATATTATACCTTCCGGAAGTTGTGTAACACAATGAGCGGCAGTGAGAACATAACGATCCGAGATTATTGTACCGCCGCAACGGAACTCCGGATTCCGTCTTCCGGTGTTGTACGCGATCAACGCCATCCACGGGAACTCGAAGATTCCGGTTTTGTTACCACCGAATATTTTCGGCTGAGTGATGGGTCCGCAAATCTTGTGATTCAACAAACGTAGATTCCGATGATTCGTGACATCCGGCGGAGCAGGTTCGTTATCCGCATCTGTCTGTGTCTCTGATACCGTTGATTGCTATGAGATTAATAGTCAACAATGAAACAAAGAAATTACAAACAAAATAGACTTATTGAAAGAAATTACACTTTTCTTGTTGTTACATCTAAAAAGAAGTTAAACAACATGCATTGATGCGTATATCTATAGTTAATTACATGCTAATTACATAGTTAATTCGCATATATGCAATGCTACTGACGCATGACGCACAATTATACAACTCCAGAAACCTAAGTCGGATCGTGTATTTCCGTGAATTGAAATAACGCGCTATCAGAAGTTTTATTTGAGACAGACTATAAGTACAATAGCAGAAGAAACTACAATTGTACATGTGTGTTTCTCTGATCTTATTATTTTCTTTGTTATTCAATGTATGAACGATTTGCATCAGCCTAATCTAACAAAAGTTATTGGAATATTCATATACATGTAATCTAATAAGAAACATTTACTTTAAAAAATATGGTTTTCATCTGAAACATATATATATATATATTAATAATAATATAAATATAAATAAACATATATATACAGAGTGTTCCAGAATTGCCGTACAATCTCTCGTAGGCAGGTAGAAGAAGTAAAACTGAGTCGAAAAGTTCTGAATCATTTTTTTCTGTTACTTATAATAAAGGATTAATTATTGAATAAATCAGTGGCCAATTAGCGCCGACCTTTAGCCAGGCGCACGTTAGTGAGCCGCGTGCCTGGTATGTATGAGCGCCTCGTGCGGCTCACCGTGGCTAACTAAAGGTCGGCGATAATTGGCCTAATTTACTCAATAATTACTTCTTTATTACAAGTAACAGAAAAAAATTGATTCAAAAACTTCGACTCAGTTTTACTCTTTCTACCTGCCTACGAGAGATTGTACGGCAATTCTGAGACACCTTGTATATATATCTATTCTATATTTATAAAAATAAGTATATATATATACATCTATTCCAGATTTATAAAAATAAATATATATATATACATCTATTCCAGATTTATAAAAACACTCTTGGTCATAAAATATACAAGGACATTATATTGCAGTATAATACGTAAAACTGAAACCGAAAAAACCTGTTTTGTGTTATTTCACAAAGATTATAAAACAGTGTTCAAAACATATGACGCACTTTCGCTACAATTGCTTAAAACATGTATAAAATACTAGCATCTCAACAATATAAATACAAGAAAATATAAAAAAAATATACCACTTTATTAACAATTTGACACAAGTCAAGATTTAGTGATTAAATGCGATGCGCTTTTTAGACTGACAAAATAATATAATCTTACTTCGTTATTCACGCAGCAAACCAGCGGATCTCTGTTTTCGAAGCCACATTGAGCGTTTCTAAGAGTTTGCAATGCTTGTGTCGAGAGCGGTCTCGATCCTCTCAGGATTGCAAGAAGAGATGGGCAGTTGCGAATATTGATGCAAACAGCGCGCGAATCCGAGCACTCATGTTCTGCAGAAATAAGTAATTATTTAAAACACGTTTGTTTAAATTATTTCATTCGCAATACATAGTGCAGTTGATATTGTAGGAATTGACGTTAAAAAGATTTAATCCGAATGTAAATCCTAACTAAGAAGAAAAGGAGAAACAAGTTTGTATCATTTGTACGTGGCGAAATGATCCAATCGCCAAAATATAATATCTATTGACTACACTACTCACGTGCGTTAATTGTTGATAGAGAGAGGAGAAAAATCAGCAGGCCGATGAACGTCATATTTGCTAGCGGTAGTTCTTCAGCGATTTTGCTCTGGAACTGATACTTTCAACGCGTTCGTGTTGGAAAATATTTTTCTTTGTTGAAAATTATCGCGTTACGAAAAAAAAAATCAGCACGAACAAAGAACTCGTATCACTCTCTTCGGAAGACAACGGTCGGAACGACGGTTCACCGTCGATCTATCGTCTCGAGATCGGAACGAGTACTGACTACACCCAAGTTTGTAGTCGACTGTTTTCTCTCTTCGCTATCTACCGGAGTCTTGTAAATCCGTTGACTCGTGAAAAGTAGTGGGGACGCTTGAGGGTCAATTAATATTCCTGTTGCGATGAATTACCGCTCGGTTATTGATGATGTTAATAATCGCGACATTGTGGTTTCCGCAAACGCGTCGGAAATGCAGTAGGTATGTATTTCCTTTCAGGAAAAGATTTTAACGTATCGTTGGAAGGTCATTCTCGCGCGAATCGACTCATCCTCATTGCGAAAAACTCGTCATACATAGCGAAAATGCATTTACACCTGAAGCTTCCTGAAAATATCAATTGCACGCCCGTTTTTCTTTTTCTTCGTAACCCTAACGGTAATTTTTCCATTTCGAAAGCGAGAGATTGATGAACGTTATATCTTTCACATCATTATTTTACAAGTTTCTTGGAATTTCCGACGCATGATGCGAAACTTTTTGTATTTGCGCAATAAGTGCGTCTCGCTGTAATCGATTCACCAACAAGGAAGATCTGGAAACACTTTCCTCGAAATGAACTGCTATTTAAGAGGAAAAGATAAGAGTCTCAGAAATTTCTTTTCATTTTTATTGTCTAATTAATAAAATATTTTCCGTCATCGCTCGTTCTAGAGCATTGCGTTACGTCAATAATGTATATATATATATATCATTCACACATCGAAAGACTATTACAATACAGCAAAAGTTACAATACGAGCAAAAAGTTAGCGATACAAATGATTACGCATCAAATTGATAGAAAATGTGAGTTTTTCCCGTAATTATCTTAATTAGAATATCTAGTAACGTTTTTGTTAATTCACAAAGAAGACGACAGAGTTTCCTGTAATGATTATTTTTTATCTTGGGAGAGACGGCGCAATAATATTATCAATAATAAGAACGCTCAATTTTTGCAGCAACGCGTGTATATGATGATGATAACCCGAGGTCAATGTGAAGATCACAAACATAGTTATGTAATTATTTGAGTTTTTGAACAATTACGCATTGCGACGTGATTTTATATCGTTATTCTTGTAAAAAAAATGATATTTTCGGGAAATTTCTAATATTGGGTCAATTGCAAATAAATGAAATCATTACAAATAAGATTTTCACATTTTACAATATTTATTTTTATTAATGCTGTGTGTAAAAAGAAACGTAAAAAATAACATTTTCAGTAATTCATGTACACTGACATGTTCAGAAACAAATAATGTTTACAATATCAATATAATCTCGTTAATAACTATCATAAATGTTTTTTCTCCTAAATTTTGTGCAATCATCTGTGTGCGCGTGTGTAACACACACTTAATTTACACTAATTATATCTAAAAAATATGCGGCAATATTTCGTCGTAAAATATATATAATTAAAAAATTGCATATAAAATTTGAGCAATCAAAAAGCGTCACTTAACTATAAATCTTTTTTTATATTGAATCTATTCGTCATTACATATAATGTGCTTATAAAATAATAAAATAAAGTACGAATGTAACAAATCTTTCAGTTCTATACATATACACAAATACAATAAACATTTTTTCAAATATAATTTGTCCTTTACATATTACGTTTTTTTAGCAAAGTTTGCAACATGGCTCATCAGCACCTGACGTGAATAAAAAAACATCACGTAAAAGAATCCGAGTATGTTAAAATCGGCAGTTAAAGTTTTCTATCTTAAAAAAAAGTAGCAATAAAACATAATTTTAATGTACAACATATTGTATTTTGAATTCGAAATTTTCGCGATGAGAAGAAAAGTCTCGGAAATGCGAATTTCCAACTTCGAGTTCTAATCCGTCATGGTGTTGAGAATCCAGTCCGTATAATAAGCAACTCTTGTAGAAACTATGGGAACATCTCCTATTCCGCAGTGAGTTAAACCGTAACTGATTATCCCGTGTTGAATAATGCGAACTACTTTGTTGCCGTATATACCGGGTGTTTGTTGAGGCCCGCCGTTGTCACCCACGCAAAAGTTTACGTTGTTTTGACCACCGGCGCACAACTGTTTGTACGAAATCTGATATCCGGTTGAATTTCCATACGCTTCTTGACAACGCTCCTGGGTAACCAGTGGCAATCTAGCTTGCAAGAGATAATGACTGCGCGAATCCGTCAAGTTCCAACCGGTCACTATGACCTGCAATCGGAAACAAAGTTCGAGATATTGGAAAAAATACATTTTCAAAATAAAAACTTAATTAAATCAAAGATTACACGTAAGCGAAAACAGATTCTTACTTTTTTTTGTTTCAGCGGTGCCGCAGAACCCAAAGGTAAGCAAATCGGTCTGACATTCAAGGGTTTGAAATCTATCGAATCATTTAATCTGATTAGCGCGATATCATTTTGCAGCCGCGCTGGTGAGTAGTCTGGATGGTAGTGAAAACTTTCTACAGTAAAATCCTGATATCGCTCGGCACATTGGGTTTCGAGTCCGTTGTAGTCGTACTCGCAGTCGCGTTCCTTGCTTATATCGTGATCTCCTACTCTGACACCTATCAGTGTGACACCTAAAACNTAACACGAATTTTGTAAAACAAAGCAAATTTTGATTATAATATATGTATTTGTATATGAGAAGAGAATAATATATTACCTTCCGGAAGTTGTGTAACACAATGAGCGGCAGTGAGAACATAACGCTCCGAGATGATTGTACCGGCGCAACGGAAATCCAAATTTCGTTTTCGGGTGTTGTACGCGATCAACGCCATCCACGGGTACTCAAAGATTCCGGTACTCATTCCATCGATACGAAGTATTTTGGTGTAAGCGGCAGGCCCGCAAAGCTGATGATTCAACAAACGTAGATTCGGATGATTCGTGACATCCGGCAAAGCAGGTTCGTTATCCGGATCATTCTTTGCCGTTGATTGCTATGAGATTAATAGTCAACAGTAATACAAAAAAATTACACCTAACTTTATTTGTTGTTACATATAGAAAGAAGGTAAACAGCATGCTTCGATGACATATATCTATAGTTAATTACATGTATTTACATATGCAATGCTAACTGACGCTTGCCGTACATTTAAATTCCAAACAAAAATATACATATGTCAGAAAGTGTATTTTCGCGACTTGAAGTAACGAGCTATCCCAAAGTTTTTTTATTTGAGACAGAATATTAATACAATACAAGAAAAAACTTTAATGTCTTTTGTACATATACATATATTTCAGATTTTATAAAAACACTTTTGTTCATCGAATGTACAAGGACATTACACCGCATACGTAAAAATTGAAACCGAAAAAACTTGTTTCGTATTATGAAACACGATTTGTAACATATGACGCATTTTCACCATACTTGTTTAAAAAATATATCAAAATATATGAAATATGAGATATATATAATATGACCATGGAAATAAATCATAAATAAAATTATAAAAAACTTTATTAACAATTCACTTCACGTCACGGTTTATTGATTAAATGCGCTTTTTAGGCTGACAAAATAATGTAATCTTACCTCGTTATTCACGCAGCAAACCAACGGATCTTTGTTTTGAAAGCCACACTGAGCGTTCCTAAGAGTTTGTACTGTTTGTGCCGAAAGCGGTCTCGATCCTCTCAGGATGGCAAGAAGAGATGGACAGTTGCGAATATTGATGCAAACAGCGCGCGGATCCGAGCACTCATTTTCTGCAGAAATTAGTAATTATTTAAAACACGTTTATTTAAATTATTTCATCCGCAATACATAGTGCAATTGATATTGTAGGAATTGACATTAAAAAGATTTAATCCGAATGTAAATTCTTACTTAGAAAAAAAGGAGAAACAAGTTTGTATCATTTGTACGTGGCGAAATGATCGAATCGCCGAAACATAATATCTATTGACTATACTACTCACGTGCGTTAATTGTTGATAGAGAGAGGAGAAAAATCAGCAGGCCGATGAACGTCATATTTGCTAGCGATAGTTCTTCAGCAATTTTGCTTTGGAACTGATACTTTCAACGCATTCGCGTTAGAAAATATTTTTCTTTGAAAAGTATCGTTACGGAAATAATCAGCACAAACCGAGAACTCGTGTTGCACTTTTCAAAGAACGACAATCGCGGTTAACCGTCGATCTATCGTGCCGAGATTAGACTAGAATGCTGACTACGCACCCAAGTTTATAGTCGACTGACTTCTCTCTTAGCTAAATACTGTGGCATCTTGTAAATCTGTTGACTTGTGAAAAGTAGTGGGGATGCTTGCGAGACGACAACTAATTTTCCTGTTGCCATTTGTTCTCGTTCAAGTATTGACGATATTAACCCGCAAACTTTGCAAACGTGTTTTTGGTATCTTCTATTTGCAAATCAAAGGGTCGTTACTCTGTCTTACTATAATTTTTTCTATGTTAAAATTGTAGAAAAATTCTACAAAAAATTACGTAGTCTCTTTAAACCTACTATTTTACAGACAAAGCAAAACAGTTTTTGAAGAAAAGAAATTTGTTTAAATAATTTTTATAATAAACAAAGTAATTGTAGTTTTGTTTCAAAAATTCTAATTGTCCAAGAAATTGACCAAATTAGAAAAAAATGCTTAAATTGAAAATAAAGGTATTTATAAACAAATTATATATATATATGCGAATGCGTTTTATTAAATAATTTGATTTTATTTTAAATTTCTTTTTGTCACTGGAGCTGTCGATGTTGTACTGGAAACCTGAAATTTTCCAGCTTCTATGCAACTTCTTTTAGGGCAGGATCGGACGCATTTTTTTCTGTAAGTTGTAAACGCACTTAAACTTTGCGCGGACACAAATTGCCTTAGTTTGCAGAATAAGTGTTATAATAATATCGCAAACTTATGGCCTACAAAATTTCGTAAACGTCGAAAATGCAAAAAGCATTTCTCTTCAAAAAAGAAAAGATTTTGACGTACCGTTGAAACACCATTCTCGGATCGACTTACCATCTTACTTGCGAAATTCGACATTCATACCTAGCGCATTGAAAATGCATTTACGACGCCTAAAACCTGAAAGTAGTATTCTTACGATCGTTTTTCTGTTTCTTCGTAACTTTATCGGTGATTTTTCTCTTTATCTTGAGACCGAGAGACTATACACGTCATACATTTCTATTATTAATTTACAATCTTGTTGGGAATTCCGACGGATGCTGCGAGTTTTTTTATACTTGCGCAATAAGTGCTTGTTGCTGTAATCGACTCACCAACGAGGAAATCTAAAATACTTACCACCAAATAAACTGCTATTAAATCTAAATAAACTGCTGAAAACAATTAAGAAATTCGCTCTTTATACATTATGTTTTTTAAAGTACATTTTGCAACGTGGCTCATCAGCATCTGCCATGAATTAAAAACATCACACAAAAAAATCAGAGTATGTTAGAATGGATCACATCGGCAGTAAGACATTTAAAAAAATAATTAATGTACAATATATTGTATTTTGAATTCGTATTTTCACGATGAGAAGGAAAGTCTCGGATGCACATTCCCAGCTCTGCGAGCCTAATCTCTCATAGTATTGAGAATCCAGTCCATGTAATAAGCAACCCTTGTGTAGACTCCGGGGAAACTTACGCCGCACTGCTTTACACCGTAACTGACTATCCCGTGTTGAACGGTGCGCACTGTATTGCCGTATTTACCGGGTGCTTGCAGAGGACCGCCGCTGTCACCCGCGCACGAGTCCACGTTGTTTTTACCACCTGCGCACAGTTGCTTGTACCAGATCTGAGTTCTACCACTGTACGCTTGTTGACACTGCTCCTGAGTAATCAGTGGCAACCTCGCTTGCAAGAGATCGTGACTGCGCGGACCCAATTCCGTCGCGCCCCAACCAGTCACTACGGCCTGCAATCGGAAACAAAAAATTCAAGAAATTGAAAAAACAAATAAAACTTCGAAACTAACATTGAATTTAAAATTACATAATTAAACAAACAGACTCTTACGTTTTTATAATTCAGCGTTGCCGCAGGTCCAAAAGGTAAACAAATCGGTCTGACACTCAAGGGTCTGAAATCTATCGAATCATTTAATCTGATGAGCGCGATATCATTTTGCAGCAGCGTTCGTGTGTAGTCTGGATGATAATGAAAACTTTCTACAGTAAAATCCTGATATCGCTCGGCACATTGGGTTTCGAGTCCGTTGTAGTCGTACTCGCAGTCGCGTTCCTTGCTTATATCGTGATCTCCTACTCTGACACCTATCAGTGTGACACCTAAAACNTAACACGAATTTTGTAAAACAAAGCAAATTTTGATTATAATATATGTATTTGTATATGAGAAGAGAATAATATATTACCTTCCGGAAGTTGTGTAACACAATGAGCGGCAGTGAGAACATAACGCTCCGAGATGATTGTACCGCCGCAACGGAACTCCGGATTCCGTCTTCCGGTATTATACGCGATCAACGCCATCCACGGAAACTCGAAGATATTAGTTTTGTTACCATTTCCTATAAATATTTTTGACTGAACGATGGGTCCGCAATCTCGATAATTCAACAAATGTAGATTCGGATGATTTGTGACATCCGGCGGAGCAGGTTCGTTATCCGCATCTGGTGATGCCTTCGGTACCGTTGATTGCTACGAGATTGATAGTCAACATTGAAGCAAAGAAATTACATTTTGCATGGTGTCACATTTAAAAAAAAGTTAAACAACATGCTCTGATGCGTATATCTATAGTTAATTACATGCATTTACATATATTCAATGCTACTGACGCATGACGCACTATTATACAACTCCAGAAATCTAAGTCGGATCGTGTATTTCCGTGAATTGAAATAACACGCTATCAACAGTTTTATTTGAGACAGAATATAAGTACAATAGCAGAAGAAACTACAATTGTATTGTGTTTCTCGTATGTGGGTTTCTCTGATCTTATTATTTTTTTGTTATTCAGTGTATCAACGATATGCATCAGTCTAATCTAACAAAAGTTATTGGAATATTTATATACATGTATTCTAATAAAAAACAGTTACTTTAAAAAATATGATTCAATCTGAAATATGTATATATATATATATGTATATACAGGGTGTTTCAGAACTATGGGATCAAACTTCTAGGGGTTATTCAGTGCAACAGTAGAAAACATTTGAGTATAGGGACCCATGTCCGGAANGTCTTTCTAAATTTTAACGCGTCTTAGGGCCGTAGTGCGGTAGTGACACTTTTCCGGACATGGGTCCCTATACTCAAATGTTTTCTACTGTTGCACTGAATAACCCCTAGAAGTTTGATCCCATAGTTCTGAAACACCCTGTATATGTATACATCTATTCCAGATTTATAAAAAGACTCTTGTTTATAAAATTTGTAAGGACAATACTTCGCAGTATAATACGTACAACTGAAACCGAAAAAACCTGTTTTGTGTGTTATTTCAGAAAGATTATAAAACAGTGTTCGAAACATATGACGCACTTTCATCACATTTGCTTAAAAAATATATAAAATAATAGCATCTCAACAATATAAATACAAGAAAATATTTAAAAAATATATTACTTTATTAACAATTTAACTCAAGTCAAGGATTATTAATTAAATGCGATGCGCTTTTTAGACTGACAAAATAATATAATCTTACTTCGTTATTCACGCAGCAAACCAGCGGATCTTTGTTTTCGAAGCCACATTGAGCGTTCCTAAGAGTTTGTACTGTTTGTGCCGAAAGCGGTCTCGATCCTCTCAGGATGGCAAGAATAGATGGACAGCTGCGAATATTGATGCAAACAGCGCGCGGATCCAAGCACTCGTTTTCTGCCGAAATAAGTAATTATTTAAAACACGTTTATTTAAATTATTTCATTCGCAATACATAGTGCAATTGATAATATGAGACTTGACGTTAAAAAGATTTAATCCGAATGTAAATCCTTACTAAGAAGAAAAATAGAAACAAGTTTGTATCATTTGTACGTTGCAAAATGATCGAATCGCCAAAACATAATATCTATTGACTATACTACTCACGTGCGTTAATTGTTGATAGAGCGAGAAGAAAAATCAGCAGGCCGATGAACGTCATATTTGCTAGTGGTAGTTCTTCAGCAATTTTGCTTTGGAACTGATACTTTCAACGCGTTCGTGTTGGAAAATATTTTTCTTTGTTGAAAATTATCGTTACGGAAAGAATCAGCACAAACCGAGAACTCGTGTTGCACTTTTCAAAGAACGACAATCGCGGTTAACCGTCGATCTATCGTGTCGAGATTGAGCTAATACTGACTACGCACCCAAGTTTATAGTCGACTGACTTCTCTCTTAGCTAACTACTGGCATCTTGCAAACCTGTTGACTTGTGAAAAGTAACGGGGATGCGTGCGAGACGACAACTAACTTTTCCTGTTCCCATTTGTTCTTGTTCAGTTATTGACGATATCAACTCGCAAACTCTTATTTCATTATTATAACATACGTTGTATTGACAAGAGAGAAGCGACACTGTTGCGTGTTTAGCATTGTCCCGCACCTGATCACGCGAATTTCAAGTGATCTGATTTGTTATCAGTGAATGCTTCTAATTCAAAAAATATTATAGCCTCGACATTTTGACATATTAGATTTTTGTCTTAGAATCTACCGGTAAAAGGAAATGCGGTAGTTGCGGGACACCCTGTATATATAAAATTCACACATCGAAGGACTATTACAATACGAGCAAAAATTTATTAACAATTGCACGCATTGAATCGATCAATGCGAATTTCTTTTCCGTAATTAACGTAATTAGAAAATCAAAAAAAAACATTAAAAATCATCGAAGATGACGACGTTTTCTGATGATGCTTTTTAATCTTGAAAGACACGGCGTGATAATATTGTCAATAACAAGTAACTTTCTCGATTTTTCTCAGCAACGCGCGTGTATACGATAACCCGAGAGCAATATGTGAAGATTACAAACGTATTTATGTAATTATATCAGTTTTTTTTAACATTTCCGTATTGCGACGTGATTTTACATCGTTTTCCTTGTCCGAAAAGATGAAATTACTAATATCGAAATGTCTAATATCGAGTCGTGTAAATAAATAAAATTACCGGATACAAATAACACACAAGTTGCAATAATTATTTTTATTAATTCTGTGTTTAAAAAAAAAAAAAAAAAAAGAAAAACGTAAAAAATATTATTTTCAGTATCGTATGTACACTGACGTTCTTACAAACTAATAAGTTTTACAATATTAAATCTCGTTTTGGTAAATTATTATAAATGTTATTTATTTCGTCTAAATTATTACGCTATCAACTGTGTGCGCGCTTTGTCAACACACTCGAGTCAAACACTCGTTGTATAAAAAAAAAAATAATGCGGCAATCTCGTCGTAAAAAATACACAATTAAAAAAAAAAAAGAAAAACGCATTAAAAAACTGAGCAATTAAAGCGTCGCTTAATTGTAAATCTCTTGTTGATGTATTGAGTATATTCATCATTACATAGAACGTGCTTATATAAAAGTAAAATAAAATAATGTACCGATGTTTCTTTCTTAGTACTTCGGTTCACATGCCTAGCCTAGTTGATAACGTTTTATCTCTTCTAACGAGAATAAAAAGTCTTTATCGAAGAATATGCATATATCTATCTATCTTTTTTTTCTTCTCGCAAACGTTTCCGTCGCGTTTTTCATTTACGGTCTCATTTTGCTAAGAATCCAGGGAACAAAATCCGCTACTTTGGTGTACACGCCTGGCCAACCCTGAAGACCGCATGGCGACGGTCCAAATGACACAACGCCCACGGACGTCCATCTGGCGGTGCCGTCGACGAGTCTCTCGATGGTCATCAGCGGACCGCCCGAGTCACCTCGGCACGAATCCTTGCCTCTTTGACCGCCCGCGCAAATCTGTCCAAGTCCCAATTGAACGCCGGCGTTGCCGTAAGTCTGAGCGCAATCATTCTTGTCCGTCAGCGGTAACGACAACTTTAGCTTCACGTTCGAGGACACGCTGTCTTCGGTCCTACCCCATCCGGCCACAAAGAGTTTGTCGCTTATCGTCGAGTTCGTTGGCAAGCAAATGGGTTTGATGTAAGTGGTGAATCGCACGTCGTAATTTAATCGCAGCAAAGCGATGTCGTAACGTTGATCACGTGAATTCGGTTGATAGTTCTCGTGAGCAATCTGTTCCTCCACGCCAACGGTGATCGGATCGTCGGCGCAAATCTCGCTGTTCACGTCGTCCTGCACGCAATCCTGTTCGGTGTCGGTGTTGTATTCGCCCAGACGCACGCTGGTCAGACGATAAGATTTCGACAATTCCTTGCCCTTGACGCAGTGAGCCGCGGTAAGAACGTAACGCTTGCTGATCAGAACACCGCCGCACGCTGTGGATTTTCCGCCGTTCGCTGCAACGTCATTTTGAAAGAAAGATATTTAATATCGGCAACTTTTTGTGCGTTACGTTAATCAAATCGATCAAAAAATATTTCACACTATTGTTGTACTTTATATGTAAAAAAAAAAAAAAAATAGATTTTCGCACTCACGTCTCTGGTACTCCAACAGCGCCATCCAAGGGAATTCGCCGAGTTCGGTGCGTTCGCCGCCGACGATTTTTTGGGTCAAGTCGCGACCGCAGGTCGACGGTAGCAGAGGATGATTGATCACGTCGACTCGTAAATTTTCGTTGGGATTGAAAACCGTCGGATTCTCCGGATTCATTTGATTTCCTTGATCTACCGTATTTCCCGGATTCATCGGATTTTCCGGATTCACCGGATTTCCTGGATTCACCGGATTTCCTGGATTCACCGGATTTCCTGGATTCATCGGATTAACATTATCGTTCTGAGGGATGACGCTCGCGCCGCCGATGCAGCAAACCATCGGATCTTTGCCTCGGTAGCCGCAATGGTTGCGTCGTAGATAGTTTACGGCCTGTTCGCGCGATTGTTGCAGGATACTGGCGACCATCGGACATTCCCGCGCGATTATGCACGTGCCTAATTGACCCTCGGCTCTGCAGTCCGTGATTCGCGAACTTTGATACTCTTCGAGAAGAAATAAAACGAAAGATGTCAGATGTGTGAGAAGAGAAATTATGCGACAAAAAAAAAAAAAACTAATTTCAATAAGTAATGTTATTGAAATAACATGCAATAAAGTTTGCACGTAACAAACAAATCACGTCGTTAAATTTAATACGACAAGATTCTTCGACAAAGCTAAAAAAAAAAAAAAAGTCAATTTAAACCTTGTCAAGAATGTAAAAACTATTATTTTTTTTATTTATTGTTTTTGTCGTAAAAAGTATCTTTTTCGAGACTGATTTTGCGTAACAATTCGCATACCAATATGTGTTTTTTGTTTGCCATTATCTTATTAAAATGTACATTTCGGAATCGTATAAAAATTCTGTCTCATCCAGAATTTCCGGTTTTTCTAAACGAGAAATTTAAAAATATTCTTCTCGCAAATCTTCAGGACCAGCGCCTACTGTTTTGCAAAATTCTTGATAAAGTTGGTAAAAACAAATTATTAAAATGATTGAGATAATGAAAAGATTGTTGTTTCGACACAATATAAATTAATGTTGAACAAATCTGGGAAACGCTTGTAAATTGTAAAATCGCGGTAATTTGTCGAACACTCAAGATCGAAGACGGAAGAAAAGATGATTTCACGCGTGATTTTACCATCGCGTTAATTATGACTTGTTTTGTGAATTCTCTTGGCGCTGGCCATTAATTCGATGACGTAACACATATATTGCCGTAACACACACCAACTCGAAAGATGGGAAACACCTTGTCTTCGATTTTCGCGGAAGCGCGTAATAAATTAACAACAATAAGCGATGTCGCGAACCCGGACAATTAATATTGCGCGTACAATGCGCAATATAATTAAGCTTTGATTATTAAAATTAAATTCGAGATGAAAGAGAGAGAGAGAGATTATGCGTCGGAGAGTTTCTTGTATATTTAATCAAAATCAACAATCATTAACGTATGTTAGAGAAGGATGTATGTACATACGTGAGATATTATGTAAGAGATGTATTGTGCGAGGCTTAAAAACGCATCTCCGAGTTTTTGCGTGCAAAATAGAAAAATTAAAAAAAAGCAGAAGATACATCGAGAAAAAGATAAATTTTTCTAACAATAAAAACAGTGTGTCACAGAGTAGCGAAAATTCTAATGTAGGTTTTTCTCGTCTCTTTCCCGATTATATTGTTAATTTGCTGCGTGTGTAATCCTGCTTGTACGTTAGTTGATCATCATCACCAATGACCTTGATAAACTCTCTCGTTATTATTTTTCATAGATTTTGAACAACACACAAATGTCAGAATCACGTTTGCAGCAATATCGAGAGAGAGAGATTCTTCTAATTAAAAAAAAAAAAAAAAGTGATTAATTTTCGCAGTACACAGAAAAGTAATTGCACAACTTCACTTACGCGCATCGATGCCAACACCGATCAGTAAAACCGAAAACTTGAAGAGAAATGACAACGTCGACTTCATCGACATTGTTGACAAATTTATTCGAAAAAACTCGCTGTTGTTGTTTCAACAAAGAAAAACGATTAATCGCACAACGTCTCGACTTCGACGAGGCGAGAACTAAACTTCGCTCGATCCCGGCGGCTTCTTCTATTTTATAGCCGTTCTAGCGAAGATCGGAACAATGACTGCATTCGACTCTGACGTTGGTGTAGACGTGATAGTAGAGTTGACCGGCGTCAGGGTCAACAACTGTCCCCACCAAGTCATCGCGTCAACAGACTTTGCGTACTTTGCGTATACTTTACCAGGAGCGGACTGACCGCGGATTGAGGAAAATTCATGCTTTCGTTATTCAGAAATTTGTAATCAAGTAAGTCTTTCAAAGTGTAAAAAACGTTATACGGTCATCAGATCGATAAAAAAAAAAAGTCGAATCGCAAAACTGCGCTCGACTTTTAATTTTTTAGATAATTACAATAATTAATTTCTTTCGATGATTCTCTGATGATAATTGCGATTGTTTCACGCGAAACCGGACGACCAGAAATGAGATATGTAGAAAACGACGTAAACACATAATTATACAAGCTTGTATGACATATATTGGTGTTGATATGTTTCGATTGTTGCTATCTCTGGATCTGCAACGGTTTCCGGAAATTCCCGGGATAATTCCGATGATCAATCACGTTTTCGTGACATTGTGTGTCAGATGATGACACAACTTTGCTTCGTTTTCCTGTTGATGTTTTAGTTTTTTTTTCTATTTCGGCTCGAAACCGTTAAGTTTATCAACAGATTCATAAGTCGGCTCGGGTACTGATAGATCTAAGTGCGTTACTATATGTCATGTCGTCTCAGTTTTCTCTCTTTTCCTTCACGATTGCGGATTTTAATGAAACCTGTTCTAACGTTTTACGACAATTTAAATCACATTAAAATCTTATTTTTTTCAATAGTTTGATGCTTAGTGCGTTATTATTTCGTATCTCATTTATGCCTTAATATAAATTGTAACTTTATATGAAATAATAAAAATTTATCAGTTTAGGCAAAAAATTCTAATATGCGTGTAATTAAAATCAGCTCACTCTGCGCGCTCCAAACACAATTTATATTAAATTAAATTAATTAATTAAATTAATTTAATTAAATCAGGAAACATTACATTAACGAGATTGGTTGAAGAGGATCTAAAATAAAGATCAAATTGTCTCATTTGAATTTTACGTATATATACAGAGTTGTTCAAAATCACTATATCACGTCCTGTGACTCTAAACGTCAAATTTATCTTTAATTTATAATTTACATTAAACGCAGTTTTGCAGAAAACTTTTTGTAATCTGTTTCCGATTTATAAACTGTATATCCCCGCTATTCGGCGCTTTTGTTGTGTGTTTCATATGTTTTCATTATACAATTGCTTGCGATGCGCTTCCGCGTAACAATGATTCAATCGTCGACAAAAGCTGAGAAAGAAAGAGAGAGAGAGAGAAAAAAACCACCAGAATTAGAACCTGCGTGCGTGTTCGGCGTAATCCAGATCTAGCGAAGCAAAACGGGAACACCCTCGATTTTTTCCTTGTATGTCTGGTACTAACGTGCATCATCATCGCGTATGACGCGAGTCTCGCGGAAAGAGAACGTGGGATAATATATGTATATTGCGGTCGCAAAAAGATTGCAACGCGAGCAATTGAAATGTATTATATACATTTCCATAGACAAAAAGACACTTGGATTTATTTCGAGAAATAAATTAATTTCTCAATATATTATTCCTAGAGACTAAAAAAAAAAAAACATCGTGATTCTTTTAATCATTGCCCAACGTTATAATAAAGTTTAAATTACGTCTTCGCACAAATAATCACGCACGAGTTTAACTTCACACCGCGCGCACAGGAAATCCTGCGAGATTACTAAACTAAGATTTCCGTATAATAAGGTTCTAATGAGATAATTGACATCTTAACAAGTGACCGCAGTTGCTTTTGTAATAAAAAAAAAAAACAATTTCTGCTTGTGATTTTGTTTCGTTTAATTTTACACGGCGCGGTAGTTTAGAAAGAAATATATCACATAATTTTTCTTCGCTCAAAGATCTTTCTTTATTTTTTACAATTTTATTATCTTATTGAATATTAATTATTAATTGTTTCTAAGAATACAATACAGTGTGTCTAATATAATTCTGATAACATTAATCACTTCTACGCAATTTGCGAATTTGTGCTCGTCGCCGCATTTAATCCTTCGCGGATCCTGACGTGAATCTCTTAGGACCTGTATCCAAAAATTTCAAAACGCGGTGTCTCTAGTTAAAATTAGTTTTTTTTTTTTTTTTTGTCAAACGCTCATATCTTCGAAACTATTAGAGATTTTTTCAATTTATTTATTTTTTTTTTTTCGATCGACGCAGAACCGTTCGAACTTTTGGTTTAAAAAAATTGAAACAATTTTTCGCGAAACCGTTTGATTTTGCAGTCGCGTGGATTTCACAAACCCACTCAGTCTAATTAGTAGTAGCGTTTTGAAAGTTAATCTACGAAGAGAGAGAGTTGAGAAGACATGTAATATTGAATTTTCTCGAATACTTTGAACTAATATTTTAATTAAGAATAGAGTAATAAACTCTCTTCGCGACTTTTTTCGAAATAAAAACCGAAATAACAAATTATCTTCCAACTAGAATAGAAACACTTTTGTCTGCGAATTCTAAAGCGCGCGCGATTTCTGAAACTTCCGCGTTCTGACAATTTCACGGCGATATATGGTCCAGAATCCACGTCATGTACTTGGCGACCTTACTGTAGACGGCGGGCGACGTGGAACTGCCGCAATATGTCGCACCGAAAGAAACGATACCGAGGAGATAATATCTGGGACGTCCGTTGTAACCGATCACTTTCATCAGAGGTCCGCCGCTGTCGCCGCCGCAAGAGTCCTGACCCGTGACACCACCCACGCACATCTGCGTATCCGCGATGATAGCGAATTTTTTGAAGGACTTTGCACACCTCTCCTCTTCGACAACCGGCAACGTAACAGTTAGCAGAGTCGTGCTGGGTTTCGGATCGCCTATTTGGATATCGAGAAAAAGAGGTTATTACTTTTATTTTAATATATTATTTTTATGTTGTGTTGGATACACAATATATATAAAAAAAATATTTTTGGATAAATAGATATATATATATATATATATATCCTCGTAAACTAATTCAATTTTGTAAAGAAATACAAAACGAATAAAGAAGAAGCGAAGTGAATGCGACAGACTTAATCTTTCGCGGACAGACATGGATCTCTCAGACCTCACTCAAAAATTGCGCATTGGCGTCTCTGGTAAAAATTTTGTTTTTAGTTTTTTTTAACGCGCTTATATTTTTTGAAATTACTAGAGATGTTTTAACTTAGTTTTTTATCCACGCAGAATCGTTCAAATTTTTGATTCAACTCGGGAAAAAAAATAGATTAGATCTAACTTAAATTTAACGAGATTAAAAAAATGAAAGAATAGATCCAATTAGATCCAAATTAAATCTAAATAGATATAAAGTAGATCTAAATAAATATAAGCAGATCTATTAAATTAATTATTTACACCTTTATATATTATTAAAAATCTACTTTAGATCTCTACTCAGATCTACTGTAATTAAAACTACTCGGATTTAGTTTAGATTCGAGCAGATCCGAACAGATCTGAGGTGATCTAATATAATAGATCTGAGTAGATCTCAAGAGTAGATCTAATAATATATATACCATAGATTTACTTATATTTATTTAGATCTACTTTATATTTATTTAGATCTACTTTATATCCATGTAGATTTAATTTGGATCTAATTACATCTATTTTTCCATTTTTTTTTATCTCGTTAAATTTAAGTTAGATCTAATCCATTTTTTCTCGGGAAAAAACCAAAAAATTGAAAAAAAAAATATTAATGTTTCGAGGAGATATTCAATTTTTTTTTTTAAAGTCGCGTGGGTCTCGCAGACCCAGTCTGTCCAGGTAGTCGTCATTTTTTTTAAATCTGTCCACGAAGAATCAATATTATTAATTCAGAAGCGCCTTCTTACTGATGTCGTAAATTCCCCAACCAGCGACTTCCATCGTCTCGTTGAAGAAGTCTTTCTCCAAAAGTTCACCGTTCACCATGCATATCGGCCTCACGTGATCTGTTTGCGTGATAAGTTTGCAACCGATTAAACATTTTTTTTCTTTTTATTTTCAAAAATCAACGACGATTCAAAGAAGAGACACTTTGTTCCTCGAATAACGCGTGCGGAGTTTTTACAGACTAAGTGTCGAAATGTGTTTTTCTGTGCGATTGACACTCACCGTTGAAAACCGCCGGCTTGTTCAATCGTATCAGAGCTATGTCGTGCCTGTACGGTGGATTGTTGTAATTCTCGTGAACTATCACCGATTCCGGCTGAAAGTCCTGCACCGGTTCCGCGCAGTATCTTTTGACGCAGTCGATTTCTGTCAATGTATTGTGCTCGCCCAAACGAATTCCGTTGATCTTCAAACTTTGAAATTTTTTATCAATGTGATTTGTGTAAAAATGCGCACGGTGTGTGCGTTAAATCATTTTAGAAGATATCACGTGAAAGGTAACAATTATGAAAAAAATAAAGCGAACATCGAACGTTGCATCTGTGTTGCACAATTGTTTTATTTAAACAAGAAGATCGCAGATAATGTTTCACGTACTTATTCGGCAGATTTGCCGCGCAGTGGGCGGCCGTGAGCACGTAAAGTTGATTGATCAAAGTGCCGCCGCATCTGTAACTCAACTCCTTCGTGCCGGGTTCGCTGTATCCAATTCGCGCGATCCAAGGATAAGCTCCCAAACTCGCGTTCTTGCCCCCGATAATGCGATCACTGTTCGAATTGCCGCATCGTTTCTCAAACAGCGACCAATTGGGATGTTTCGTCACGTCGGCTGCGTTATCGTTTCGAGAACATGATATAAAAATATCGTGTGTATATTTCTTCCCCCCCTCCTCATCCCTTTTAAAAAAAATCTCTTTAATTGTGAAAAAAACTTACTCGTGGAAAGTATCACGGAGATAGCGCAGAAATATACAAGATTCCACAATAAACATCGCATTCTGCTTATTGGAAAAACTGAACAAACAAACGAGCGTTGATTTAAAATCGCAATTGCATAGAATTTTGGCAAAAAAAATGCACTACCACACTTTTTGGTCGATTTTTTGTTTTTTGTCGAAAATTGATGCGAAAAAAAATTGCGCGCGAGTTTCTAACACGAGAAGAATCTTTGCCAAGTTGCTCGCACTCGGACTCAAAGCGACTCTCTATATCGTTAATTCAGGCTCAATCGCCTACGTGCCCACGCAGGCTTATCTCGACTGTATTATAAAACGCGAATTATGACTTGCTTGATAGATTCTTTGTAATTCGCTCGCCGCAGCTCCGGCTCTTGTATTGATTTTTGTTGCTGATTATTGTACAATGTTCCAAACAAGACAAATTGTCGCAACTGATTCCTGAAAGAAAACTTGCTAGACACAAATCTTTTCGCGAAAAAACTTATTGCGTGTGTTTCTCGTAAAAAAAAAAAAAACTGACTTGTTTAATTTTATATTGGTTTTATGCAAATTATCTCCCGTTTTATTCTCGCGCGCGTATAAATATAAAAGAATGAGCAGCTCTTAAAATAGAAAAAATAGAATTAAAAAAATTTGCTGTATATATATATATACATATACAGGGTGTCCCAGAATTAACGTAAAATCTCTCGTAGGCAGGTAGAAGGAGTAAAACTGAGTCGAAAAGTCCTGAACCATTTTTTTCTATTATTTATAATAAAGGAGTAATTATTGATTAAATCAGGCCAATCAGCGCAGACCTTTAGCCAGGTCGGCACGTCAGTGAGCGCTCACACACACCAGGCGCGCGGCTCACTGACGTGAGCCCGGCTAAAGGTCGGCGCTGATTGGCTTGATTTATTCAATAAATTACTCCTTTATTATAAATAATAGAAAAAAATGGTTCAGGACTTTTCGACTCAGTTTTACTCCTTTTATCTGCCTACGAGAGATGTTAAAGTAATTGTCGGACACCCTGTATATATATTATATATAATTTTTCAAAGAGGTATAAATAAAATATGAACGTCTATGTCGTTTGAATTTGCTGTCAAACGTCAATTTATATGCGTAATGCGGTGATATGAGATTCTATACGAGATTCTAGGAATGAATTAAAATGCTACGGGACAACAGGTTGAATATATAAAATGGCTTTCGCGGATGCTACACACGTCCCAGCCATTCTCTAATTTAAATAAAAAAATAAGATTAATGCGAAATTTACAAAACTGCGTGATCCCACACACCGATCGTTTACAGAGAGTAAATAATATACTTTGTGGCTGAATTATGTAAATTAGAGAGAGAATAAAGTAGAACCTGCGACAACTCTGCCAATTTTTTAGAATAAATTTTACGAAATGTGTTGTAAATCCTGCCGTCGTATTTGCCCGCGAACTTTAGCAAATTGTAAGTACCTGCTTTCAAATGTGTTCGCGTTAAAATATTTTTCTACAAAATGTTTTATAAAAACTTAAAAATGTATATTGCATATACACGTACTTACGCAAGATTACAAATGACATTACAGATAAAGCACAGTTGAAAGATCGACAACCTGATAATTTTGTTCTTTTCGGCGCAAAGTATATCACGGAGCTTTGCTCATGGACGAATGAATGTCTGTGCAAAGACGATTTTCTTAGATCTTTTGTCGTCTCGATAATTACATTCGCAATCGGAGTGAAGCTCACATCGGAATTGAACACTTGGAATTTGTTAAGTACCGTCGGTCGATAGAATCAAGAAGTTTTTTCAAGAAAAATTATTACACTTGTATGTAAATTTGCAGTAGAAACCGGCTAAGTGGTCTCGCGGCCTGAGTGGTAATGAAGTGCGAACGAATTTTTCCCAGCCAGTTTCTTTTAAGTCGAGTTGCGTCGAGATGTGAAGATGTGGACAAAAATGTCAAAGAGAAATATTGTAACCCCGAGGGGAATCAATAAGAATTCCATATAAATTTGCAGACACAGTTTATTACACTTAAATATTTATATTCATTCGGTTTTGCTCTACACTTCATCATTAACATATAAAAGTAAATGTCTCACCAATCGGACGTGCATCCCGGTATCCGAACAATAATGCAAGTTTATTTTGTATCCTAATTTTTAATTAAAGATTACTATTGTAAAGTATAAACATTTATTAACATGAATTGAAATAATGATTATATATAACATTGAGAAAATTATTAGTTATAAATTATTAGTTTGTAACATGTGTCGCATCTAATAACAAATTTTGAAGAATTTCTTAAGCTTTTGTCAAGAAATCTCGCGAATTTGTTAAAAAACTACTTGACATATTTGCTATTTATATGTTACAACAATAATGCATTAATACAATAATAATATACATTTAAATTTTTAAATAAAATGCTCGAACTTGCAAGAAAATTAATTTCTTTTATTGTAAAAAATTATAAGTTTAACTGCTGAAACACATTTACCTTACGTGATCTTACAATACGTAATAAATAAAAACACAAACTCTTATTCCCTCTTATATTCTATGTATCTTATTTTTTATATTCTATATTACGTTAATCATATCATACATTGGTGGTTTTTAATATTTTTAATTCCCACCTTTGTCATATTACATTACTGTTCCCACAATAATATTCAGCGATCGATCACTATTATACTTGTTCCACCTTGCTTCTTTTTTTTGCAGGCATTATATTCTGTTTGTTACTGTCATCGTCGTCCGAGGTGTCGATTTCATCAGAATCTATGTCCAAATCTAATATAGTTTTACGCTTTATAGGTTTTACTTCTTCCTTCGGTTTGGTTGCTCCTAATATCCCGGCTTTGAAACCTTCTTCCACAGCATCTTCGACTCTGTCTGTCATCTCCGCTCGTTCCTCGTCGTATCGCTTGTCCTTGAATTCGTGTTTCGGTTCGGTGCAGAGCTTCTCTAACTTTTTCTGCTTTCTTAGTGCAGCTTCCTTTTCTCTTCTAGTCATCTTCTCCACCCAAGCTTTCAGTCTTTTTTCCTGGTTTATGTCGCGTAATCTGCGGCCACTCAGATCTCTGCAAATAAAGATATGTAAATTTATTATTTAATACAATGTATTTATATATATATATATATACAATATATAAAATTGAATTCTATCTCTATACACCTGCAGGCTTCTCGATTTGTAGTTTTCTCTATCTGTGCACCTATCGCACGCAACATAGAACCAAAACCTCCTTTGCCACCAAGCAGTCTTGGTATTACATCTATACATCCGTGAGAGCAAACATCGTGTTCCTGCATAAGTCTGCCATTGTGTAACACATAGTACTGATCGTGTGAAAGACCCTGATTACAAGAAACATTAAAATGCATTAATTCTTTTTTGTCTATGTATAATTCTTAACAAAATTATTTTTTTTAAGTCGATAAACTTTTCTCTTGGGCGCAGATTAACAGATAAATTTCATATAATAAATAAGATTTAAAAACTGTTATTACTCACAGTTGCGTCACTGACTCGTTGTGACAATTCGCACATTGTCATTGACGCGTCATTTTCGACGTTAGCGGATTTTAAGAATACTCCCGCGATCTTTATGTTCAACATTTTTGCTTGGAACGCGTTTGCGTCAAAATCGGAAAAAGATTTTACGCGAATTTTCAGTCTTTCAGCCCAAAATCAGATTCTTGTTTAGCAGCAAGATCACAAACGTCAAACACAAAATGGCTGTAAACTCAAATCAACTCCTCCAGAATGCTCCAGAATTATATCTGAGATGTGTAACGTCTAAAAAAATATAGGGTGCGTTCAGAGACAACTCAACAGTTGCACAACGGTTGAGAGATAATCACTTCTGATTGGATCGTACTTTTGGAACCGCGCGAGATTTTGAAGAACAGTCCTATCATAAGCGACGATCTCTCAACCGTTGAGTTGTCTGAACGCACCCATTAAGCCTGTTCTACATTGATCGCGAGGGCAAACGAACAGATCTCGTAGAATTGACCAATCACGCTGATCAATTGGCTGATTTGATCAATACGATTAGTCAATTCTACCAGACCCGATCCTTGCGTTTGCGCTTGCGATCAATGTAGAACAGGCTTTAGATTTGGACTTGTTTTCATGCGTTCTACTTGACGCTCGCAACGATCGCGAGCATATACTCGATTCAATTAGAGAAGAGAATTTTTCGACGGACAAAAAACCCGTCCGTTTCGCGCATCTTCTCTACTAAAAAAAAAGTCTTCTTACTTCACAGCCATTGGCTGTGTCAGCAAATGTTCCACCACAGTCCCGCACGCAACGCTATTCCTTACTTTGCCCGCTTTTCTTCTCCCTATGCGCAGTAAAAAATTCTCTTCTCTAATTGAATCTAGTGTAGAATGATGGAACAGCGCTCTCCCCGAACGCGGCCCGGAGTGCAAAATGACAGCGCGCGATATTTTGAATGGTCCGTTAGTACTTCATACTACTAGATTTGCTATCTTCGTCATCGTCTTATAGCAGTGATGAAGATGAATTAACAACAGAAATAACCACAAAAAATTCCTAAAGTCGAAAACTTTATTAACGTGACAACCTTACGGATAAGTCGTGATTATTTATTATTTATTATTTATTTAATTGTCGCTGCGCGAATATTGTATTATCGTATTGTGTTGATATTTTATTGTATTTTGTGAAACATTATATATATAATATATATTATATATA